TTCAAAAAAAGCTCTTTATTTTTCTCTGCTGCCTTTGCTGCAGCACCTCTTTTCACCCTCTGTCTGAAACCAGAGCCCAGTCTGCTGGGTTAGCTGGCCGGCTCTGTTGTGATTGGTCAACCGCTTAGAGGTGTCCCGCCCCTTAGCCTATCACGTATAATGTGTTGGAGCGTAGCCAATAGAAGTGCGATGTTTCATAGTGATAGCACTATGTTCCATGAGTAAACAAAGGAGTCCAATGGAGGCTTTTACATGACCTTTTACATGCACCAAAACCGATATAATACACTAAAGGAAAGGGAAAACACCACCATTTTGTAATAGTAATATTCTTACAATCACACTTAAAGTCGTGTTCTGTAATGCTTTGAAAACAATAGATGTTTATTTCTACACTTTTGGACAACTAACCTCCGGCCTGAAGGAAGAAGCTTACATTCTGAGTGCAGAGGGTGGGAGTCATCTTGAGCTGGATAAACACTGAAACTGTCTGAGGTTCAGGGTCTCAAGGTTTAGCTGTGGCTCAACAATCAGTCTGACCACTTTATGATCTGAGTTAGAGAGTTTCTGCTCTTTAAAGGCAGGTTACCAAACCATGACATGACAGAGAACGACAGAATTGACTCAATAATAGCCAGATAAATTACGATCATCATGGTTTTTTCAATGTCAAGATGGGATAGTTTCCTGAGACAGAACAAATGCCCCTTTTTGCACAAAGCTTAACAATTTGCTCTTGTTTTCGACTTTAGGATCCACTCCTGAGGATGAAGCATCTAAAGCCACAGACAGCGTCACCTTCATGGTGCCCAAGAAAGAAATCAGCATGGTGCCGGACATGGGGAAGTGGAAGCGATCTATGGTAAAGCTGAACACCTTTCACATGTTTTCAAGTAGAAAACTAAACCAACAACAGTTTAGAAACAAAATAATAATAATATCATTGTTTTATGTGTTATTTGTATTTATGTTGCATTGTTGGAGGAGCTCAGGACCTCCGATGTTCATTGCCATATCTACACTGTAGCCGGTGCATATGACAATGAAGCCTATGAACCTTGAAACTTTGACCGACAGGCTACTACAGATCAACAGACAATTTAGATGAATCTCTTTCTAAACAAGAATGGAGGCTTTGTGAACACCTGCAGTTTAGTTCCTGCGGTAATATATAGAACTTAGTCGGGCGACTGTGGCTGTGAGGGAGTGCGGTCGTCTTTAAACCAGAAGGTTGTTGGTTCGATCCCAGCCCGTGCAGTCAACATATCGATGTATCCTTGGGCAAGATACTGAACCCTGAGTTGCTCCCGATAGCTAATGGTGTGTGAGTGTGTGTGAGTGTTAGCTTCCCTAGAGCAAGTGTTACTGCTCTGCATGAATGTTTCAAGTTTCAAGGCTTTATTGTCATGTGCACATTAGCTACAGTGTAGATATGGCAATGAAAAACCTAGGAATGAGGTGTGAATGACTCGTAGTATATTATATATTCCATTTACTTGTTGTGATTTTTGATTCTCAGATTGATTCAAAGTAAAAAACAATATTCGTATCGTAAGGCTGATTTTAGTTTGTGTCGCTAGTCTGATTATAACCTGAATACGCTACGGTGTTGAACACATCTCTCCCTCTCACAGGCCTATGCTGACTACATCGGCTTCATCCTGGCACTGAATGGAGCCGTGAAGGGAAAGAAGCTCTCGTGTGAATACAAAGTTTCAGAGGTGTGTTGTCTTCTGTCTGAGTGTCGCCTAAAAGCATGTGTTGTAACCCGCTAAATTAATATGATGGGAAAATAAAACTCATTCTACATTTGCTTGCATGTTAAGTATGTTATGAACTATGATTTCTATATAACCTCATTGCTGTGTTGTTGTGTGACAGACGGTGCAGAAGTTATTAGATCTTTTGGGGACTCTGGACCGATGGATAAACGAGACCCCTCCCGTTGACCAGCCATCACGCTTTGGGAATAAGGCCTACAGAACCTGGTACTCCATACTAGACCAGGTTAGTGTGAACACAAACACACACACACACACGCACACGCGCACGCACAAACGCACAAACACACACACACACACACACACACACACGCACAAACACACACACAGGATTATGTATACCTAGTAATGTTTTAGACATGTAGAGACCCTTTGTAACACTTATCTCATTCCACACAATCCATACAGCTTCCTCATGTTTAATTTAACACACACACACACACACGCACGCACGCACGCACGCACGCACGCACGCACGCACGCACGCACGCACACACACACACACACACACACACACACACACACACACACACACACACACACACACACACACACACACACACACACACACACACACACACACACACACACACACACACACACACACACACACACACACACACACACACACACACACACACACACACACACACACACACACACACACACAGAGTTTTACTGCCATAACCACATCAACATAGGGCATTGCCAAACCATGCCGCACAAGGCGTTACAACAAAACTAAAAAGAACACTAAACATGTCAACAACCACGTGCAAATACAAAATCTAAGAAAGTGTGTGTCTGTGTCACTCACGGCTTCTGAGGTTGTGGCAGGTAAAACATATTCTCTGCGAGCTCTCCTAACAGGATCGGAATTGTTGGGATGTTTGTCATGTGGTCAAATTCAGGATGTTTTTGAGAAATATTGTGTTCAGATTGGTTGGAGTTTTGTGCATTACTGTCAGAAAGGTCAACTCTGTTTCTACTTTGTCTTCTTCACACACTCTGTCTCTCTCACATCCTCCCTGCAGGGGGCAGAGTCCTTGGTGTTCGCTCTGCTCCCGAAGGACACATCTGCAGCAGCTGCAGAGATAGCCGTTTATCTGAAGGAGTCTGTGGGCAACGCCGTCAGGATAGACTATGGAACAGGTGTGTGTGTGTGTGTGTGTGTGTGTGTGTGTGTGTGTGTGTGTGTGTGTGTGTGTGTGTGTGTGTGTGTGTGTGTGTGTGTGTGTGTGTGTGTGTGTGTGTGTGTGTGTGTGTGTGTGTGTCTTCTCCTCTCAGGGCATATGTAATATGTTGGATGTTTGTCGTGTGGTCAAATTCAGGATGTTTGTTTTTACAATTTGAGAAGTATTTTGTTCGGATTGGTTGGGGTTCGGTGCCTGAATTGTAGTGAACTTATCAGGTCCTGTTCGTGTGTGTGTGTGTCTTCTCCTCTCAGGGCACGAGGCTGCGTTCGCTGCGTTCCTCTGCTGCCTCTGTAAGGTTGGAGCTCTCAAGGTAGACGATCAGCTGGCTATCGTCTTTCTGGTTTTCAACAGGTGAGCTGTTACTGCACTTTATCGCTAGGAAATATTATTCAAATTCAAGATTCAAAGGTTTTATTGTCATCTGCATAAAGCTACATTGTAGAAATGGCAAGGACATTCTTCTGACCTGAGCTCTAGATAATGTGTATTTTGTGTATAATTAATGCAAATAAGTGCAGATACATTCCATATCACCGGTCTCCGGAGTGTAGCTAGCGCAATAATAGCTAAACTCATCCCTTGCCCCTCTGAGCATCCTTTTTGTGTGTGTGTGTGTGTGTGTGTGTGTGTGTGTGTGTGTGTGTGTGTGTGTGTGTGTGTGTGTGTGTGTGTGTGTGTGTGTGTGTGTGTGTGTGTGTGTGTGTGTGTGTGTGTGTGTGT